TCAACCTGTCAAACTGTCAAACTGTCAAACTATCAAACTATCAAACTATCAAACTATCAAACTATCAAACTATCAAACTATTAAACTATCAACCTATCGAACGTTCAAACTTTCAAACTATGAAACTATCAAACTATCAAACTACCAAGTCATCCATTATTACATACATCAAATATTTTCTGGTTTGAAAAATACGAGGCTTTTCCTATCGCCTAACTATACCAGCTGGACTCTGATAACCCGTATAGTCTCCATGAAAGGTACATCCGCAGGATAATACGTAGGGACCGCGTGACTCATAGTCAGGCCTTCGGAGTATCGCGAATCGACTATCTACCGCGCGCGAGCGCACTCGCTTTGCTCTGCCGGCGAACAATTTGTCCGATCTTGATGCTAGAACCCATTGGAGACTGCAGTAAGATGATCTTGATCGCCGACTGCGGAATTCACCGCAGGAATAATTTAGTTACGTAAAATCATGCACGAAAGAATGTCGGTGTTGTTTAGGGCGGAGGGGCGGAGGGTGGAGGGGCATGGTCATTAGAGGTATTTTGAAATTCCGATTGTTGGCAGGACGTCCCGCAGGCAGGAGACTGTAGCGTTATCTGTTTATTGGTTGCGACCGAAGTTTTCTTCTTCGTCCGCGCGAACGTTTGAGGAACACTGACGAGCATGCAGAAAGCGCGCAAGCAAGCTGGAAGCGGCGACCAGGTCCTCCGTGGCGGGTTTTGTGCAGTTTGGTGGAACGCTGGTTCGTTGGAGCGGTGGTGAGCAACGTTTGTTTCGGTGGAAACCGGGGATTGGCAGATTGGGAAATAGGGAGATTGAGAAATTGGGGAATTACGTGTTTGGGAAATGGGAGATGTAGGAGTGGGGCTATTGACGATTTGGGGAATGGGAAATTGAGGGTTGTGACATGGAATAATTAGGGAATTGAGGAATTAGGGAATTGGATGGTTGAACAATTTGGAAATTGGAGAATTGGAGACTTGGGTACTTGAGAAATTGGCGAATTGGGAAATTGGATAATTGAAGAATTGGGAAATTGGGTAATTGAAAAATTGGGGAATTGTATAATTGAAAACTGGGGGAAATTAGGTAATTGAAAAATTGAGGAATTGGGGAATTGGGGAATTGGGGAATTGAAAACTGGAGAAATTAGGCGATCAGATAATTGAACAAGTGGGAAATTGAATAATTGAAAAATAGAGAAATCAGGAAAGAATGTAGAATGTATTTTGTTGTGTAGCTTCGCAAGACAAAAGACATTCTATTTGAATTGTGTATTTTTCGACTACTTGGCTGACCGCAGATAAGTAGTTGAAGGGCCGCGGGTTGCTCATCACCGCGCTAATTTATTAAAGCCAGGGATACACGCAGAGACGCTACGACGGACGCAGTTTCGTGGTTGTTTCGTGAATCGCGCCAAAATCCTTCTTTCCCCCGACGCCTATTGTTGATCGTTCAGGGAAACTTGGAAATAGCCGAAGAACAAACGGCAGTATCTATTTTCGGGTGCACAGACAATTTAATATAGAAATGGACAGTTGACTGGTCACCGGCGAAACTCAAGCCCGAGACGCATGGCCAGTGTATTTACAATTCCTGATCAAGGAATTAAGGTCACTGAAAATCATCGATATCTCCTGTGTTTTTCATCAAATTTAAAGGCATAAACGAAATTTAACTAGAAGCTTTAAGAATTTATTAATTATTAAATATTTCATACATAAGTAAGAATAATTTATATATTATTATACATAATGAAACATTATTTATTATTATTAAATATTATTACTTAAAACACTTGTACATAAATCTACAATTACCACAATACTGGTTTAAAAGAGAAAATGTTAAATATATAACAAAACTGTTTAAAAATTCAAGACACGATGAAACAGTGCATACAAGGTGTACCGAAAGAAACATACTGTATAATCAAACAAAAGGTGGAAGTACAAATCACTAATACACGCGTAGTTTATTACTTAATGAAAATTATTTATTTCATTATTATCGTATTCATAATGTTATTATTATATGTATTATTTAGTACCATCATAAATTATATGCAGGCCTCTAAAATTTCCTAAAAACACAAAAGATATTGAGAATTGTGAATGGCCTATATCTTCCGACCAGAAGCACTGCTTCTGTACTGCTCTTGTTAAGAAGTGGCGAGTAGAAAATTCGAAAAAAATTCAGATTTCTATATTCTCTGTCTATAATGATTCGAGGCGCGTCAAGGTAACCGAGAATAAGGATGATTCTGGTTTGTTACTTACCATCGCAGCGCAAACCTTGCCGGAACAGCCCGTACAGCAAGGATCCGCAGTGGTCGCAAAATGTGGGCGACATGAAAGTGTGCGTGCGGAACCTGTGAGGCACATCTACCTTGAAACGCTCCCTCAAGTACTGCCATTGAACAAGTATCAACAGAATTAGAACGTTTCCGAGTGCGAGAACCACGCTGGTTTCGGACACATTGTATAAATAGAGAGTATCATGATCCGTCAGAAATCTTGTCTCTAGAGCAGCTTTACTGTTTACGGCTGGTAATTGGCTGTCATCGAGCAAGTGAAGATCGAACGGGATTATTTCAAGAAAACTCTGCAGCTACTGAAACGTTCGTTGCTGAAATACGAGCAGCTGTTTTTGGGTATACCATGTTGCTTTGCATACTGACTTAAACTTTTTGGTATTGAGTAATTAACGGATGGGATTTGGAGTGTTTTGAGTAGGTGTGCTTATGGGCTTTCTTATGGTCAGTCTTCAGTTGAATTGTTTGGAATTTTGATGTATTGGTTAGAATTGAGGAATATGTGACGGTTAGACAGAATTTTTTTAATGCTCCGTGCGTTGTGTTTATGTGGATATTATGTGGTCCCATTTTGTGACAGTGTGGTAATATTGGAATAGTCGGAGATGAGTTTTTGGCAAGTATGATTGTATTTTAGAATGATGTAATTTAGTTTTTTAGTATTGTCGAATTAACAGATTACCAGATTACCAGATAACCAGATTACCAGATTACCAGATTACCAGATTATCAAATTATCAAATTATCAAATTATCAAATTATCAAATTATCAAATTATCAAATTATCAGATTCTCAGATTCTCAGATTCTCAGATTCTCAGACTATCAGACTATCAGACTATCAGACTATCAGACTATCAGACTATCAGACTATCAGACTATCAGACTATCAGACTATCAAACTATCAAACTATCAAACTATCAAACTATCAAACTATCAAACTATCAAACTATCAAACTATCAAACTATCAAACTACCAAATCATCCATTTTACATACATCAAATATTTTCTAGTTTCAAAAGCCTTTTTCAAACATTCATTTTCATATTAGTTACTATTGTCCATCTACCATTTTCATTCCTCCATTAATGACATTTGCTCAAAAAGAATACAAAAAAAGGAAAAAATAAGGAAAAATGAAATAAAAACCCTCCACATAAGGAAATATTCAACTTCCGGGATTACCTAATATCCACATAGATCAAACAGCAAGATCGTTTTGTAAATCAGGAATGCTATAACACTAGTTGGTTAGAGGAAGCCCTAGATCTCTCGTTGTTTCACGCTGCGGTGCAAACTGCATCGTTGAACAAATAAACAATCGCGCCCCGGGTATTCCCAGCTTTTACGTTTATCTCGTAGATTCACCGCATTCGTGGAATTCCCAGTTCGATTTCCAATTAACCTCTTGCCCTATGATTTCATTTACAACTGCTAAAACTTCATATTGGGTCATCCTATAAATAATACGGTTGTTGTATACTTCTTATATTTTTAAACATTGGAATGAATAAATCTTTCTTTAATTCAAAATATCTTTTCCTACATTATGGATAGATATTATATATCTATATTTTAAGTAGATTAAAAAGAGATTTGTTTATCTTTATTTTTAAAAGTAAACGAAATATACAGAAATTACATTATTTATGTCATGACTTAATATTTTTT